ATATATATATATATATATATTATATACATGTATGTGTGTACGCAAACACATAAACACGTAAACACATACATAAACATACACACGCACACGCACACACATACACACAGACAGACAGACAGACAGACACACACACACACACACACTCGCACACACACAGACACACACACATTCTAAAGTGTCAGAGTAAACTTCAAACAAAGAGATTATAAATAGAACTAGAGGTCTTGGCTGTGACGTCACGAGTGCCAAACTTGAGGGGCGCGCCCTTCCTGAGAGAAACAAATAAAAGGCCAGTCGGTGCACAGTAACACTTTACAATCACGGATTTATGATATTCTGCGAAGTCTTTTGATGTTAATTTCTCTTTCATGTTATTTGCTTATCGCTAAAATGTACTCATGTGGATGTTTTGTCCTTTAAAGGAGCCAGATAATCTCCAAATAATTCAAATAGGGCGTTTTACACAGTGAGACCAGAAAAAAATACATACGGTGGACTTGATGATCACTTATAAAAATAAAAAACATAATTTTTATGAAACCTATTGCTAAACGTCGCTCAATCAGTAGGTTTATGTCTAGATGTAGCATCCATGACCACAACACGGCGCTTGTATCGGCCCTCTGGAATCAGAATGTGACTGAGAAGCAGCTGCATCTCTAGCACACCTTCAAGGCTGGTTGAAAGGAAACGAATCACTGTGGATGTTGCTGAGATTAGAGAATATAAAGTAACCAACCAGGCCTAACTATCCTCCAATAAGACCGGCATGGAACCGATGCCAAACAGCATAATGTGCAACAGGAAGCAGCAGGGGTTTATGGAAGATGGGAATGTTGTGTAGCGGAACACCATTGCCAATCAACGGCGGTTTGGGAAAATATTTGGAGCGTTTAAAACAATCCGGCTATCAATTTAAAATTAAGTCGTGTTGCACTTTTTAATGTGGTCAGTGTTTTATACATGTATAAGGAACGCACTAAATATGGCGACAAAGCCAGCAGAGTCACTGTGGGCCCGCACTGCCATGGGGAGTTTACGTGGGTGACGTCACAGCTGCCACTTCTAGTAGTATTATATTATAATCTCTTTGACTTCAAACAATATTATTGCCGGGACCAAACAAAGGGTCGTATATGGGAAAGTTGATAGCTCTCCAACGCAGAACCAACAACAAAAGACATCTGAAGGGATGGGCCCCTTAGTGGTACAAATCCTGTGTGTTTGGTGTTCATGTGTGTTCACAAGTGCGCGTGTAATGTGTGCCTGTGTGTGTGTGTGTGTGTGTGTGTGTGTGTGTGTTTGTGAGTGTATGTGTGTGTGTTAGCGTGTTAGTGTGTGTGTTTGTGTGTGTGTGTGTGTATGTGTGTGTGTGTGTGTCTGTATGAGTGTATGTGTGTGCGTGTGTGTGTCACGTG